GTGTGTGTGTGTGTCAGGAAAATTAGCTACATGAGGGAAAGTGTAGTTTGGGCCGTGTGGGCCCAACGTGGGTGATCGAGAAAGTAGAAAGTAGACTTAGGTTGAGTAGTCGAGGACAGACAGACAAGTAGATTGGATAGATTGGGCAGAGAGCTAGTAGGTATAGAGGTAGGCAGGCAGGTAGGCAGGTAGGCATGCAGGCAGCGATGCAGGCAGCAAGCCAGATGGCGAGGGTAGGAAGCAAGGTGGGCGGTCGAAGGGGTAGTAACGGATAGTAAGGGGAGTCGGGGGTGTTCGGAAGGGGATGCCGGAGGTGGCGGCGTACAGGGGGCGGCAGGCTGGTGGTGCGTCAGAGCCTGCAGTGAGCCCGGCAGTGAGGCGAAACGTTGGGCTCCGCGCGGGAGTCTCGTGGCCGCCCGCCTTTTCTTTTAAGTCGGGGTGCCTTTTTCCTTACACCCACCCCCCGCCCCTTTTTTCGTCGCCCTCGCGGCTCTACGGACCGATCGTCGCTCTCTTTTTCAAGGCACGCGAGTGGTAAGCTCGCTGCGACACGTTACGCGCGCACGATCTCGTCGAAGCACGGTTCGTTCTTCTGGTTCCGTTTCTTTCCTTCCGATCTCTTCTTCGCCTTGGTCGCCGTGTCGCGGTCGCGCTTTCCCGTTTTAGATTAGCCGTCAACGGCTAATTAATAATAAATTAAAACCGGCGCGATTCGCAGAGTGCTATGAGGATATAAAAGATCAGATTCGCGGTCACAGCAGCACGCACGGAAAGGGGAGGAAAGACTAGAGGGGAAAAAAAGACGAGAGAAAGAGAGAGAGAGAGAGAGAGAGAGAGAAGGGAAGACAGAGACGAGAGTCTCGAGACGGGACGTTGCAGAGACACAGGTACTCTCCTCGTGGAGAGACACACACCGTGGACGCGAGGTTGGCTGCGGCACCGGAGGAGAAGATCTACCGCAGGAAGACCGGCGGTGGTGCGTGACCTCCGGCTCTAGCCACATGACACGGTGTTCGATCTCGCGTGCACAATCTCGTTACGGTTCTTCTTTCAACGAGAAGAGGATATCGTGCGTTCTCTCTTGGTGATCGTTGCGACGCGTTGGTGGTATCGGTCGGTCGGTCGGTGTGTCGGGGTGTCGGTGACGACGGTGTCGGTGTAGGTGTAGGTGTAGGTGTAGGTGTAGGTGTAGGTGTCGGTGTCGCTGGTCGCGGCGATCATTCGGCCGTTGGCGGC